TGTGGATATTTGTTTTAAATTCTGTAAATATCAACTTTTTGCTGATGATCTAAAATTATATTATACTATATCTTGTATAGATGATTGTTATCTACTACGTTTCAGACAAACCTCCAATTTTCTACTCATATCAACCAAATTAGTCTTAAGGCTATAAAAACTCTGGGATTTCTGTGTNTAAGGCTATAAAAACTCTGGGATTTCTGTGCAGATGTACTAAATCATTTGATGATATACACTGCCTTAAGGTTCTTTTTAGTACACTTGTACGTCCTACTTTAGAATATGGGTCCATTATATGGAACCCTACCACGTCATCTCATATACAACAGCTTGAAAGAGTACAAAGAAAATTTATTCGTTTTATAGGTTTTAAAAGAAATTTAACATATAATATTGATAATACTTCAATGCANGAAATTTAACACATAATATTGATAATACTTCAATGCAAAGTTTACAGTTTAACCTAAAGCTTGATCCTCTTTTAACACGTCGTAATATGCTAGACACATCCTTTTTATTTAAACTTATTAATGGTATCATCTCCTGCCCTCCTCTTCTAGATCGTATAACATTTAACGTACCTCAATATAATACACGATCATGCCTTACTTTTAATGTTAAATTACACCGCACAAACTATGGTAAAAATAATCCGCTAAATAGAATTTTAACATCAGGTAATACATCAAACTTTGATTTCTTTTTTGATAGTTTATCAAACTTAAGACGTCATTACTTAAACTGTTAATCTATCGAAATTATATAAATTTTATGTGTGTATTTTTGTATTATTGATTTTATAATATCTCTAATTATTTATTTCACAACTATTTGTGTATTCCTTATTATGTAAAAATATTTAACTTGTACTTGAGCCTACCAGGCGTTTATTCAAATAAATAAATAAATAAATAACAATAGTGGTTGTTTTCCGGCTCGGTAACGTAAAGTAAATCAACATGATCGGTGCTCGTACGCGATTTAGTGATACGCAACGGATACACGTTATTTTTATCGTCCAACGCGAACGCATTGATCGACATTGACGGGTAATTACGTTCAAATCGAATAATTTGTTTCAATGGTGTAGGAAAGTCAATACCATAAAAACGTATATTTGTGGATTTTTCCAGATCAATGTAACCTGCATTATGTTTTTTATTCTTTTTGTACTTTCATAAAATCGCACATTTAAAACATTGCTAGTCGGCGTTTCTTATGTTTATGACCGCAAATTTTCGTTTGATACACAGTGAAAGTTCAATATATGAGCCACCGCTAAATGGTGAAATTTTTGTGTCTTTTAACAGCAGTCCATCTATGAATAATAGCGACCACCCGCTACCTCGGGTCTCCATTTCCTGTTGTTCATACACAAACTTCTCCGTGATTCCATCCAAAATGGTGGCATATACAGTACCGAATTCGACAGTTTTGTTACGTGTTTTAAACGATACGTCTCTCATTTCCCCCATAACTTGGTGTATGTACGCTGTGTGCAGTACAACGTTGAATTATATTATACCGTGCTTGGTAACGTCATTTAGTACGGTGGTTAAATCGTTACTCACTAATCGAATAAAATCGTCAATTTCGTCAATAGTCGTTTCATTTTTCAAAAAATAATGTATCACTCGACCGCGTAGTGCAGAATCTATAGAAACAAAGCCGATCCCTGCAACGTGCATGCACGCGTGTTTGGTCACCCTTCCCGCAGGCGCTGACATACATAGTTTTTCTGAAATAACAGTTTGACGGTGACCCTGATTCAAACTACAACGAACTTTCAAACCAGCACTATCGACAAATGAAGACCCACAACCGCATACAAATGACATGATACAACTATTGAAAAATTAATGTATTAGTTAAACGTGTGTATGGACACCTCTATCGTCAACTATTCAGTTCAATGTACTTTTACTATTGGAGTAAACACTACTGGACTATTAACGAATTATATTATCAATGGCGTGTAGAAATTTAACTTGAATACATAAGTTTTTGTTTTTTTTTAAATCTACTCTAAAGTATGACTATTGTGATTTTTGTTTTTACATTTTCCACCAATTTGAAAAACTATTAATCTTATAATATTAATCTAAAGTATAATTTATCTTTGCCATAAACTACTATTAGATTCTATATTATCGGAGCAATAATGCAAACACAAATAGATTGCGAACGAATTATATAATTTTAATTCAATTTCATTTGTTGTACATAAATAATTAGAAAAAAAATATATAAACAGATTTTGTTGATTGTAAAAAAAAAAAAAAAGTTAATGTATTAAAAAAAATTTTATTGAAAGTCAAATGAATNTAATAGTACTGAATATTAAACAGTATTAAATACTAAATAATTGTATTTAAAATACTACTCAGATACTTTTTATTAAATGTATTTAAAAATACTATTCAATATCAATGAAAGTATTTGAATACTTTTATTCAAATACATTTACTCAAATGCTTTACGCCTTTGGTTATCGGGCAACCGTGCCACCACAACAACACCGTTTCTCGTTGTCAAATTTTTCATTGAATCTACTCTATAGGCATGATTCTCTACCAAGTCAGACATTTTAATGTACTCCATGCCTTTGGCTTGATTATTCAATTTTTGTTTTAATTGTTCCATTTTCTACACAACAAAATTATTCGTGAGTAAACTATATATATGGTGAATGTTGTATTAATGGTGTACAACTCGACACTGATACATACATTTTTAACAATAACTACTATCATCAGCCACAGCATGACACGGAAGAGGATACCGCGTAATACAGATTCCCCGAAAGTTGCACGTAACTCGAAAACGGATGCAGCTAGTGCTCTAATTTTTTTTTTTTTGTCGTCACCTCCATCCGTTTGCCACAAGACAATTTAATATTCATATCGATACTCTCTCATAGCATACTAACCTTTTACTCTCTCTACTTGTTTTTGTTAAAGATAAATTACTAGTCTACAATACAGTCGATGCACACCTACAGCTATGTGTAATGGTTAGAGGAACCATTTATAAACTCAGTTTTTTTTTTTTTAATAATACAGTTGTTTACAAACTGTTCGTCATCATATACTATAGAAATCGTTGAGTGTGTATCGGAGCGTAGTACACACACACACACACATACATATTTACATAAGATAATATTCTTTAACCTTTACAATATGAATACTAATCTATTAACCATTTCTTTTTACGATACATATGATGTGTGTTTGTGGGGGCGCCTCACTTGCACCTCCTCCTCCTCACTTATAATCTCCCCGGCGCCTCACTTATCAAAATTATTAGCGCCTCCCTTATCAAAATAAAAAATTAATTTGATAACAAATAATAGCGCCTCACTTTTCAAAGTTCTTACCACTTCCCTTATCAAAATTATTAGTGCCACCCTTATCACGTTATTACCGCCACACTTTAAAAACGTTTCATTAATAAATGATCGCAATAAATTTATATGCGTTCTGAAATAATATTATCTCCCTCCATTAATAGTTGTTATATATACGTTATTATTTTGATATAAAAACTATAGTTTCTTTTAATAAAATTCAGTCATTTTTGATTTGTAATCGATGAAGTTTGTAAAATAACGTAATCAACGTGAGGATAATTTAAAGACTATCATCCACAGATAAAAGTAAGTTTTTTAATAATTCATATTAAAACACAAGATGTATTATTTTACAATGATATGTGTATTTTAAATTTTAGATGAGTATGATAAATAAAGATTGGTTGAATGGTATGAAAAATAAACGTAGAATGTGTGTGTCTGATCTTAAAATAGGAGTAGAATACAAGGTTCTGGGACTGTACGTGATAAAATCAAAATACTCGAATGAGACTCCAGTGGCTGAAGTAAAACTTGATAATGAACCGTCATTTCAAGTTTATTTACCCGCAAGATTTACATTCACTCGTGAAGATTTAAACAAAGGAATCGATGAAAATCTCAAACTTGTATGCAACGGAAGAAAAGATCACACCTCTAGTTACGATATAATGTTCTTATAACTAATTATTTTTTAATAGAAATATGTGTTAAAATAAATATTGTATTTTTTAAAAAAAAATGAAATAATGTTCTTATAACTAATTATTTTTAATAGAAATATGTGTTAAAATAAATACTGTATTTTTAAAAAAAAAATGAAATAATTATACGTACAATTAAATGATTAATAAATTACTCTCGTTTAATTTAAAGAAACGCGTGTTTTATTTACTGGAAAAAATCCTGATCATACTGTGAATAAATTACGTGAGAAATCTTTAGAAATTAAAAACTCAAGATTATAAATTGCAACATATTGTCTGGAAATATAAGATTGTAAAATAAAATGCATCATCTAGTATACA